TAGCTTTGGATAAACGCGGCTGTTCTTCCCACAACTCCTCCTCCCCGTCCACCCCCCCCCCATCGCCTCGTCTCTTTTGCTGCCAAAGCGGCTCTTTAATAAAAGGCGCAGGGAGGCAAGACCAGAACCCGCGTCCAAACCCCTGCTTAATCCAATGAAGGCAATTTCCGAGCGTAATTGCGAACATGTTTTAATGCATATGCATGAAAAGGGCTTCTTCTCTCCTTTTTTTTCCGAGAGACCGACTTTACATGCTTATGTAATTGATTGAGGCGCTGACCCGCTATTCAAAATGTTATTTGAGAACCATCAGAATGCGTAAACTTGCAAATTGCCCAGCTTGTATCTGAATTAATACCTCATTCATCATCATTATGGGTTGATAAGTTAATTTAACCATTTCATTCTGCCTTAATGAGCTATAGTTAAATTAATGCCACATAATATATGAAAGTAACATTTAAATAGAGGCACTGGGCTGAGACAAACAGAGGCTGCCGCTATTTGGGCTTGAAATAACGTGACATAAATCTTTTCTTCATTACAGGAGCCAGTCTGTTCTACTAGCAGTTATGAAGTATTTATTCATTCGCTTGCTTTTGCTACACACTCGTCCGCCCGCCCGCCCTCCCCTCCCTGCGCACAGCCTCCCCCACCCCCCGCCCGACAAAGTTGCTTTGCCAAATAGCATAGGTAAATTATAGGCGCGTGTAAATAATGCCCGAGTATGGCTTTTATTAAAATGAAACCGGAGCGGGGGGGGAGGAGAGCGGGGAGGACAGACGCCCGGATCGCTTCCTACATACTGACAAAGCCTCCAAAGAGACGCGTCCTTGTTTCCCTCAATGCCTCTCCGCCAGGCCCCGTTGGGGAGGCGGCCCAGGCATCATTTTAGCCAAGGTGATGGTGGGCGCACGTGCGCTATCCCCTCGCCAAAACAGAGAGAATCCGTTTAATAAGCGCAGGGCCTCCCGAAGCGGTTTATCGCCGGGATGAATTTTCAAGGTGAGGGCTCTCTCCCCTTCGGGACGTGGGAGGGAGTGCCTCTGAGTACGTGCGAAGCTCCCCCTGCGCCGAGGGAGGAGGAGTATCCTTCTGGAACAGGGGTGCCAATTTCAATAAAATATTGGGGGTCCCAGGTAATCGATCGCATCATGGCTCAGACTCGCCATTTGAATGGGAATTCCTCTCAACTTTTTTGGGGGTGATGGTGGTCTGGCCCCCTCAAATATTTATGGGGGGAGCAAAGGGACCTCGGGCCCTAGAAGTTGGCTCCTGTGCTCTGGGATTTGGCTGGGTCTGGGAGGGCGTCCTGGTCAGAGGGCAAGCTATAATAGAAGCTATCAACAATGGGATTTCCTTCTGAGTAGACTTGGCTTTGAGTGGGACAGGATCGCAGCCTGCCTCCATTGGGAACTGCTCCCCCCTCTCCCGGTCACTCGCCAGCTGAACACGACATCAGAGCTTCCCAAAGGTCCGACCCACCTACGCCACCGGTTGGTGGTGGAACAGACGCCTTGTATACGGATCGATTGAACAAGTCGCGGGGAGGTGGGGGCTCCGGACGCCCACGAATCCGCATCCAATGGAACCCCAAAGCAAGCCCCTGATCTGGGTAATAAGGGTGGGATTCCGGAAGGATCTGAAACTTGTCTTTAAGACCTTGGAGGCCTGCGTTGACTTAAGCCTGAGGTGTGTCTGAAAAACGCTCGCGATACCACCAGGTGCCACCAGGTGGGCGTTCTGTGACACAGAAAAGAGAGAGGCAAAGGTGCGTGTGGAGAGAGAGGGAGAGGTCACGTGACAAAGTTCAAGACTAGGCAGGACCCCCGGGGAGGGGAGATTTCCTCCTTTTTCATTGGCTATCGCTTCCTCTCAGCTGTTCTGTTGGGACCTTTCCCATCCTGGATGCAATCCTTACCTGGGAACAAATTCCAACAGAAGAGAGACTTCCGAGTGACCAAGTACAGGAGTAGCGGGCTGCTTTTAAGTCTTGCAATCACAGACAGGCACACGTTGGCTGGAAGGAAGACCCATTGGTAGTCGGATGTGAGCAAGCATCCGTTGGGTCGGTCTGCGCAGCCTGTTTACGTGGAAAGCATGCCCCGTTCACACCAGACAAGCGTTAGAAACGGGCTTCCAAAGTCTTCCGGTCTAGAAACAACAATTATTACTCCAGAGAAGGGCTAGCTTTGGAGGTTCGGTGTTGATAAACACAAGGGATCCGGACTGAGAAATACCTCCTGGAATCCCAGCGTGGTCTGCCTGAAATATTTTGCAAAGATACTGCCCCCACCACCAACAGCGCACGACAAACCTTCACATTGTTGGACCTAGGACACCCCAGGCCAAAAGCCCAGGTTTACTTAACTGCAGAACTCCTGGCGCATCCCTTAAGCCTCCTCAGAAGCCCGCTTCTGCCCTGAAGTTCGAAAATAGTAGTAGTAGTAGTAGTAGTAAGAGCAGCACAACCTGCAAACCTACAAGCTCACTCCGTGGAAAGATACCGAGGCGGGGAAATTTCCATTACGCAGCCCAGTATATTGCATTTCCATTTCCATTCCTCATCAATGGAGGCCTTTAAATAGTGCAATACCGAAGGGATTAAGAGGGCGATTAAAAGGTGATTGGCTAAAAAACAGCAGCAACAACAACCCTCAAACACCGAGTAATTAGAAGGACGCAAGCAGCGAGTTGTAAAAACACGTGGAAAAGTCCCTCTCATGGCAACCGCTCTCCCTGGGCATATAGATCGAAGGGAGGGTTGGCATTGTCCTTATACAGGATACCTTGCAACCAATCTGGACCTATTTTGAGATGGGGGAGAATTAGCAGTAAACAAACTTCAGCCTATATTATTTAGGATTTCAGAATTTGGGAAGTGGGAGTTGCTTTACGGACAGCACGCCCGGGAAAAACAGATCATCAACAACAACAACAAGAAGCGCTTTTAAATCCATTTCTCTGGCTTCCAATTCATAGATAAGCCTCAAGTCTGCGGCTATTGTTTCCTTAACAGCGCGGATCTGTTTATTTCGAGGACAGGGCTGTGTTGAGAAGGAAGCCACTGTCAAGTGCTTCAATCGTTCCAGAGGTTCCCCTCCGGATGATTGGTTCCACCTTAAATAACTTGGGCTTTTTGGTCCCCAACGCGCCCTGTAGTTCGGGTTTTTGTCCTCCCTGCAGCAGCTGTCACCCTGCATTATTCGCAGTCAGCTAAATGAAACA